TGTGAAATAATAAGCACGAAACAATGTTGACGTAGGTAAGGCTTTAAAGTAAAGCGAAATCAGTAAAGTTAAAAGAGTAATTTAGGTATAAAACGAGCCACTAAAATCTGGTTTAATTTTTTTTAAAAGTCTTTTGTAAGGTTTAGTTAACAAAACTTTCAATATTTGAGGAATGATTTTGATGTAACATCTCAAAAGATCGTTGCCAACCATGCCACGCCTCTGTTTCTATTAACATACGGGCAACTGCGGAGAAATTCGTTCAAATTAACTCAATGCCTGGCAGGAGTCGTGCCGGCCCGGAAACAGTTTTTAAATAGCGTAAAGAAAAGATTCGCAAAAGTAGAAGCGTTACGCATCCTAAAAACAAATCCGACGCGCAAATTGCAAATTGGCTATTATTTAGACCTTTGATGCTTGGACTATCCTTCCTGTTCTTCCACAGGTTGAAATTCTTCGTCTGCTCCGTGGCTTTAGGCCTTCCATGTGAAGGAATGCGAGATACCATCGATGGTTTCAGTTACAAACAAAAATTTCTCAAGGAAATTGCGAGAAACTACTGCACAACTATTCAGAATAAATCACTGATAATTTCAGAAGGCTGTCAGGGCAATTTCAGACCTCAAAATATATTTAAATCGCTCGGATGCACTTGGATGATACACCACAATGGAAATTTCTCGAATTCAAGTGGCATCAGATATAAAATGGCGGACTAAGCGCGCAATGTCTTGTGGTTGACTAGGATCCTTTAACAGAAACCCTTTCTTTAGTCAGTTGCTTGAGAGATCGAAAAATTTGGACTGAGGCAATTGCATTCAAGGTCTATTGCATCGAAAAAATAGACAAAATGCCTTTTTTTTGTTGTTTTTTTTTACATATATAATCAACGTTACGTTTTTCTTAAAGGAAATAATTTTTGCAACTTGTCAGCTATGTAGCCATTCCAAACGAGCGAAAATAAAATTCAGTTCGTGAAAAAACCTAGAAAATCTCCTGTGTTTCTCTTGAGGAGGTTGCAGTGTAAAACGGTAATAACCAGATGTTCAAAGTTTCGTCATGGTAGCGGGATAAGGGATGCAGCTGGCGGGAATCATGAACTTCGATAAAGTCCCTGCACGCTGTCAGTGGAGGCAGTTGAGGCTCTCAGCCCTAGAAATAAAAATGAACGGCATGATCGCAGGAAGGCTTTTTTCCGTGCATTTCTCTGGTTGGTTCCCTTCAACTCATGTTACTCGTCTTTTAGGGTTGTTCCTCAGAAAAAACAGTTACCGAACAATTTTCTTAAACTTTCCTTTAATGTTCCTTACCAATGTTTGTTTTGAAAAATGCAATAAGAAAGAAATGTCACCGTGCTTGTTTAGGAGATTTAAAGGGCCAAACTTGCCCCATTATATGCCTGTACTGGCGCTCATCAAGTACTTCATTACATCGATCGGTTTATGGCACATTTTGCTGCGGCTGGAAGCAAGGGTTTTTTAAGTAGCACTTGTAAAAACTTGATAAGTAGAAAGTCTCGAGCGTACGGTACAATTTGATCCGTAATTTGAGGGAAAATCACGCAAATTGAAACGACATCGACTCAAAACATTTTCCACGAGTCGTTCCTTTCAAGGTCATAATTTGCATCCTAGAGTAACGGGCTTCGTGCACGCTTTTAGCTTTATCTTTTTTTCCCTTCAAATAATTTCCCCAACTTAAAGGGGATAAATTGTACACCAAAATTATGGCCACACACACACACGCACACGCACACGCACACGCACACGCACACGCACACGCACACACACGCACACACAAACGGTGAAATGGAAGCGAGTGTTCCCTTGCTTCCGTTTCACCTTGGGGAGTAGGATATGGCTACATGTAGGTTCTCCCCGTGGAGCCAGCGAAAGAGTGGGCAGAAGGGAAGAGGCCCGTGGGACAATGTGGGAACGAGATTGTTGAAGAGTTATTGCTTACCTACCATACGTTAAGTGCGACCAGGAAATACTGGGTCGAGTAAATCAAAGAGCAGCCCACCTGTAAACTTCGTGGGAGAAAATATCGTATTGTAAAAAAAAAAGAGACTCCCCTTATTTAACAGATGTTTAAACCTTAACTTCAGACTGAAGGCAGGCCGACATAAATTGACTCAAAATAGAAACGGCATGAATAAACACATAACATTGCTAAATAAACAAAGAAAACTTAATACATTCATTAAAAAAAAACTTGAGACAATTACAGAATACTGGCAGTCAATAATTTTTCCAGTTTTTCGATATGAGCGGGAGCTATGGGCGAGGAAAGATCGGGAATAGATCTAGACGAGGTGAGTCAACCCTATCCACTAATCCAAAAGAGTTTTATGGTAAAATACAAAAAAATTTGTTGTTTTTGTGAGTGTCCGTTGACTCTCGATATTCTCAGAAATACGCCTAATAGGGTGTCGGAGTTGGAAATAATAGATCATAAAGGCATCACTTGGCTTAAGGTAGTCAAGGATGATACAGAGCGTGGTTCCAGCATTAGTTTATTCTGAATTACTTCTGATGAGTTAGCTACAGTAACCTAATCAATAATACGCATCATAAATATTAATCTAAATTAGCTTAACAATTATAAAGGAGTGAAGAGATATTATTGCTGTTGTCCTATAAACAACATGAATTCTCACAATAACTCTTGGACTCTGCTACGCGCAAAAAGTCAATGATTTCGCCATTCAAGGCTTGACTACTGTCACACCTGAAACGCCATCTTTGAATTGTTCCCACCAGTGCATCAGGCCGACTTTGGTTATGTGACAGTTTGCATACTGTGCTGCAATATCACTCGCTGATAAGACTCTGCTCCAAAGATTAACTTCTGTAACCTCACCTGGTCCAAAACTATCAGCGGTTTGGAAGCCCCCTCCAACTGTATCTTGATCTTGTCCAATGACAACTGTTCCGCCAGCTGGAATCTGGTGATTTTCTTTCAAGCCTGTTCCATTGCTTTGGAGTTGTCCATCCAGATAAAACTGCCAGGCGCCGTTTGTGCTTCTCCAGGTAACACAGATGTGATGCCACATAGTGTCATTGATCTTGACTCCGGTGTTTGTACCACTTAAAAAATGATCAAAGACAAATTTAAAATTTCATATCAATAAACGGCTTTTAATGGCTGCAATACTACCAATCAAGGCTAATTCCATTTTAGTAGGGTCCATCTCCAAAAATCATGGCCGTCACCATAGCTCAAGTCATTGTTATTAATTTTGTTTTACTACTCTTCATTTTCCTTGTGATTTTTTGCATTGTAGTGCGAAAGAAAGGGTTTCCAAATATCTACCGTTGGTGGTTGAGGCCTTTTTATCAATTAGGTTGATTGAGGAAGAACATCATGCTTTAGAATGGCTGAAATCATCATTGTTTTTTGTTTTGGTTTCTTTCTCGATGATACCCCTTACCAAAGCATGCACTGTTTTATCCACATTACAGTTATAGTTTTCTGACTTCGATAAAAGCCAGTATATTTTCATCAAAATTCTCCTGCATTTCCCGAGCATTTTCGTTGGCTGTTCTCGTTAATTCGTTCTATCATAATATGGCACTGCGTTTTCCCCCCATCCTTTAGTTCCAGAGAAATTGCTTCATTACAATGCTAAGCGCCCCGGAAAAAGTCAAAGAGAGTTCCGCTGAGCGTTAGAATTTTCTCAATTCCATTTTCAGAAGTTGGGTTTGATACATCATTTACCTGTATCCGCGGTTATCCACATTGATCTCAATATTTGGAGTATTCAAACAGACATATATGGCATTTCCAATATCATAACCAGAAGCTTCTGCATAGCTGTAGACACACTGGTAATGACTTGAATTTATATCCTTCCTTTTAACAAAAAGGCACACCGTAAATTCCGTGAGATTAGATGAAATGGCATTTGCTTTGATGGCATAACTTTCGGTGGTAGACTGTTTAAAAATAATCCGGTAGGCTGTGGGGAAAAAAATGAATGATTTATAAAGCGGAAGTGCCCCTTCCTATGTTCTCTAAAAAGAATTTCATGAATCAATTCAGAAGATACGGTCCAGGATTGAGTACCTTGTATATATCGTTTGTCAACCATTGTTATTGAGAATTAATACCTCTAGAGACTAGATTTCAAACAGTCCACAAGCAAATATCAGGACCTCTTGCCAATAAATATTCTGACATCTGCATAAATTATTTTAGGTTTCCACCTGTGTTTCAACGCAATGAGCGAAAAGGGGGGTATAAGAGATCCAGTAAAAAAATTGGCTTCAACCGAAAAAGAAAAACACTTAGGAGCCTTTGAAACATATGGCTATGCAGAATACAAGAGGAATACCACTTAGCTCAAAAACTACCTTAGATTGACAAGGCCTAGGAGCAACTGTTGCTTTTCGGCAGCTGATATATTATTAACTATACTATTGTGATCAACCATTTTAAAGTTATAAATTACATTTTAGGCACACGTCTAGTAGATGCATAATTTGTTGAATGACATGCATTTGTTTGTAATAACTCTGTTTAGTCTGATTGCTAAAAGCACATCTGTTGCAAAAAACCACCAAAGCCTGTTGCTGAACTCCAGGGATCCAAACAGACGATTTTCATGTAGATCATATGAAATATCTTTCACGTCCCTACAAAGCTGTTAAACACAACAAGCTTCGATCTTTTCACACTTTGTTCCATGAAATCCTGATGCACAGCTACAGTATAACCTATAATTAATGTCCAATCTAAAACTCTCTAAAATGTTGAATGGTCACGCCCATCTCCACGAGACTTCGCTTTGTAGAAGGAAGCTTGCGCTCTCAGAACATGTCATCACAATACGATACACGTCTCTACAAACCTGATGAACAAGACAGGCCTTCAATCTTTTCACACTGTGTCCCGTAAAATCCTGGTGCACAGCTGCAGTTATATCCGTCGACTCCATCTGTGCAAGTTGCATTGTTTTTGCAGGGATGGCTGTCACAAGTAACTTTTTGGGAGTATAAGATAACGTTTAGAATTTTCGTCAACACAATTTTGCTAAACGTCCTAGGCAACGTTAATGCAAAAGGAATATAGAAAAATTGTGGACCCTTACATGAAAGGCGTGGGGCCGATTTGACTCCGCTGACGCTCAGTCATTTTTCCGCTATGCCATGTACAAAACGCTTTGTGATCGGTCATTTTTCAATAGATATCAAACTCAGATCTGCTGATTTTGTTAACTTAAAAAAATATGAAATGTTGGACACTTGCGATTTATTTCAAATAAAAAACTATACATACACACATAAATTTTGAATCCCCCATATCTTTTCCATTCTTGTCAGTTTTCTATTTAACTTCTCTCTTAAAAAGCTCCGTTTTGTATTGTTTCGTTTTTCTGTTTTTTTTTTATCTGTTTGTTTTCAAGTCTCGGAGACAAATATTTTGCGTTGTATTTGACTTGACCGAAAGAACTTGACCACCTGCATTCTACTGTTCAAAGTTGTTCTTACCCAGCTCAGCACAAGTTTCTCCGGTCCAAGGGGGCTTGCACTTGCATGAATAAGTTTGTTTCTTCTCGTCATACAAGCAAGCACCTCCATTTTTACAACTGTCGGTTATTTGGCAGCCCTAACAAGAAGCAGTGACAGACAATACGTGTAAAAAAACTGTTCAGAACACGAATATGAATGTACTTTGGAATTATTCCAAAGAAGTTCTCAGCTTTTTTCTTGGACTTAATGATTCGAGCTCGATGTAATATTTCGGACCAAAAATTAATTGCCGTATCAATGAAAATGTAATGGTCGATTTCTGCCGTTATTTAGCCTGTAACAAAGAATAATGCATTTAAAATTATATAAAGAGGGTAAGTTTCTAAAGAAACTGAGATGCTGCTTCTGTAGGAGAGTATAACAAGGTAATTCAATATTATCAACTGAGTAGATGACGTAACTTGGCCTCCCTAGAGTTGAAAGCTGACGTTTCGAGCGTTAGCCCTTCGTCAGAGCGAAAGATGGAGGGCTAGCGCCAGCTTTGAAACAGGGCATTTAAATTTTTGTTTGTTCCTCTTGTTTAACCAACTGACAGATTCTAAAGACTACTGGAAAGATAAGTGTTTTCTTTGAAACATCCATCCTTTCATCTAATGGGTCACTTCTGATCCATCCAATCACCCATCTACACATCCATCCATATCAGTATAGAAATGAAATTAGAGAAGATCTCCATAATGCACTAATACCACTTTCAAAAAGAAAATTGAGCTCGCCTTTCACTGAATAGCTGTTTTGATGCCGCAAGCCTTATGTGCCAAAATTTATCATCTGTTTTGGCAGAACTTAAATAAAAAACAAACAAACAAAAACAACTAACCCGTTTGCTTAACCCGTCGCCGGCACAAATTACAATTTTGTTAAATTAGACTCCTCAAGAAAAAACAGCTTCTGAGACCTGCACAGTATATGTTACCTTCAGTCCGAAAGATTTTTCATGAGAATTCAAAAAGCTAGCACGTAGACTGAACAGTAGCCGATAAGACCATAGATTTTGTCAAACGAATTTTTACACGCCAGAAACATATTTTGTCAAGACTGACAGAGGCAGGTCAATGTCTTCTTTCTTCGGCTTATGCTGAAATTAATCAATCTTTGCGGCGTCTGATAGCTTTATTTTCTCCGTGCTTTAATTCCTGAGCGAAATATTAAGCATGTTTCCAGAAGTAAGAAAAAAGCTGTGGTTCTGATCATGGTGAATGAAGTTTATGAACAGAAATATTTGTATAACTGATGATTCATACAAGCCGGCATTACCTTATTCAAGGTGAGGTTTGCCCTTCGTCTAAGAAATGGTGACTAATTTTTGCTCTCTTGTCTTTTCCTCGTTGTTTGTCAATTCATGTCATTATTCAAGGCATACATTCATTTCGCTTTCAAAAAAATACCAGCTCTGATTAAAACTTAACAACAGAAAAAAAACGGAAAGTTAGATTTTTATTGCTCGCACTTCGACTGTATTAAGATCGTGGCATACACGAAATCAAGGATTAAATTTTGTCTGATGCCAGCTGCTCGTAATTCAGAATACTCAAGAATAATGCAGAAATCTAGCGTAAATAATTTCTTTGTAAAGAAGATTCATTGTTAGCAAATCAAAAACGAAAAAAAGCGTTGAGAAGGGTAGTAGTCTTAAAAATGTATGCTAATTTTCTCTAACACACTTTGCCGTGAAGAGCACCTGTTGGCTAGTTGGCAAAAAATCGAGCCTGTTATCATTTTAGCGACGATATCGCACACGGGATATGTTAGCACAAAAATCGCTTTTGACACATGATTTACAGTAATACTCGTGTTTTCCCAACACCTCGCACTATTTATTAGGCTGGTAAATCGATAGAAAGTGCCGACTAACGCTTTTATAAAGTAGCTATGCTCTGGGTTTTTTTGTTCAAGAGCAGTTATTTTTTCCAATCATATGCGCCCATAATTGGAGGAAATTGAAGACATCTATTTTTCACATACAAGATAGGTTTTTGCTCAACTTCAATTATAGTGCTGTGGTCATGAATTTTCACTTTCCAGCCTTACAATTCTGAAAATTGAAAAAAAAACATACAATATGGTGCCAAAGACTTAAGCTAAAATGAGTCAATTCATTTTAAAAATGAAATATTAGCGATATGAAGACACGCAGGTTAATTTCAAAATTAAACGCCAACTAACAATTTAAATGTTAATTGAACTGCAGTTGCGTCAACTTGCGGAGCCCTTTAAAGCCAGATGAGGCATTTTAGGCTGTTCGTTACCTTAAGAGGCACTGAGAAACTGGCACCTTCCTCGAACTGCAAAAACATGTTTTCTTTGACAGCAGAGCCATCGTGCTTGTTTAGTTCGCAAGTTCCTTTGCCATCAGACTTAGCAATTTTAGGAGCAAGTTTGAAGTTTGTTGAAGTACACCAGGCGTTTTTCAAACAAGACTGACTGCACCAAATTTGACCAAGAGACTCAAACCGTTTTACCACAAAGCCTTTAAGCTGCTTATTTGTCAACGTTGTGAAGTATGCTGATCGAGAAACAGTGGATGACTCTAATGCGGTGATGAAAATTGCGTAGAGCAACAACCCTCGAAAAAGAACAAATGGAGGAGCGTTTACAGGTTCCATCACCTCAACCTTCAATGTTTGTTGAAGGCTTCAGCCAAGAGTTTACACACGACCACTTACCACGATTTTTTCATTGGCAGATTTAAGTAAGGAAAACTTGCGGAGACGTTCGGTTATACTCGCCCACGCAATGTAAATTCATAATTGATTGCCAATACTACAGCGTGGAATGAAAAAGATGCCGATTTTCAATTAACCAAAAAGTGTCGATTGGTTGAGAGAACATTAATTAAACTCCAACAGCGCGGAAATTGAAATTGAGAATATTTTTGAATGCAAAATGAAATAATTCATTTCTTTGTATTAAGAAGTATTAAGAAGTACTATTTAAGAAGTGTGAAAAAACTAATGAGTTATTCACGGATTTTTAAGAACGAATCAACACGTTGAACTGATAAATCTATAATTTTATGCCTGTCATTACAGATAAAATATGAGAATTTGAAAGAAATTAATTAACGTAATTTAAGGTGTCCTAGGATGTTAAGCGAGAAATCTTGGTGAATCTTTACCGAGGCAAAGCTTGTTTGACTTTTAAAGCCAAACTTTTTAACAAAGAACAATGAAAGTTAAATGGGAAGTGCGCCCGAGTACCAATTTTTTCCAAGACTAACGCGCTTTCAACCTTTCACTCTCAAGATCTCATTAGTAATTCTCCTGACTGTCTGCCATACAATTCTTGTGATATGAGATTGGGGAAACTGGTAGAGGATCAACTATTGATTCCCAACGTGATATTTTTCTATATTCTCAACACTTCTATATTTGATATTGTGTAGTAAGGAGAAACTCTGTATTGGTCAGTCATGGCTGTTAAAGTGTGGACAATTGCCGTCTTCTAGTCCTTCGTGGCTAAACAATTCAACAAACAAAAATAACTCCCAAACATCGGGAAAAAAAAGAGTGAGAATTCCTCAGAACATACTCATTATTGCCAAGCTATTGACTCAGTTGGTTCTGATTCAGGATTCAACCACTTTCTTTACTATAATACCCTAGTTATGATAATCATAGAAACATCTTAAATATTAATTTTCATTCATTCAACACCAGGACACCGTTAGTCATTTTTTTAATACCTTTTAGCAGCGGAAGAGGCCCTGTGCTTGTTTCAGCTGAAACTGAAATGGTCAAAATAAATTCCTAGTTAACTTTTAAACCTTAACGTCGATTCAATATGCGTGGTAAGCTGCCAAGCAAATTGTTACACATTTCAGGGATTATCCTTTCGAACTGAAAATGAGGCAATTTATGTATTTGGAATGCGTAGAAAGGTAATACCATGAAGTAAAAACAACTCACAAAACAAAATACACAAAAAAAGAAAAGAAAGAAACAGCAGAACGAAAAAAAATGGTGTTAACAAACAGTAAGCTTCTAACGGCTGCAACAGAGTTTTTTGTATTGTTAGGCCTTATGAAATCGAAGTTATGCGAAAACCCGCTGAATAAGTTTACACAATTTGGGGAGACGTTTTCTATATTTTAAGCATACTCTCAGTCATCGTGCTTATTCACGACAAGAAGCCTTTTAAACTCAAATTACACTTCTTTCAAGTCCTGCCTGTAATGAATTATCTACGAAAACAGAAAGTTTGAAGGCCGTAGGATAAAAAGATAATATTCTAGAAATAAAAAGGTTCTATCTCCCCCATAAGAAAAGAGTATCTTTATACCGAGAGTATCTTTATACCTGGTTAAGAGGTTCCATCAAGAGTGAAATCCCCCTCCTTAATTAAACAACTTTTTTGAAAGGCAAAAGTAGACAATCTTATTATTCAGGTTTCTGCGAGAATGCGCGATCATTAAAATCTACATGGCGTAGATCTCAGTTAGAAGTACCAAATACGCCATTCGCTATCATATTCCCTCTCGCCAATTGAATACGAGCTGCTTGTATATACCTAAGGAGGAGCGACGGTATAATTCTCTTCATGTAAGAAAGAAACCCAATTAATTTTTATCAGTTAAAGGTCAATTTCTAGTTAAGATGTTCCCCCACGTTCTTCTCTTTCGTTGTCTCCATTACCGGGAAAATGATTACCTCGAGCGAACTTCTGGTTGATAGTACATTATGGGAAAAGTTTTAGCAGCGCCATTCCTGATCTCCTTGGGCTGTTAGTGGACGATCATTGCTTTACTGGTTTAATTTGAATTGTGACTTTTGTTAATTACATTGTTAGAAAAAAATGAATCGCCATATGCAGTTGACTTTTGACAATCAGAATTTCTTCGGCAGAGTATTGACTCTCTCATCACAGAATCATGTAAGGAAGAGTATTAAAGATATTTTTTCGCCTTGTCGTCAGCGTGAGACAAAGTAAAATTTGTGAGTCCCCATAAGGATTGAACGCAAGATCTTCGGGTTCCGCGCTTCTGTGCTATACCACATAGACTCTATGTTAAGCAAAGCCATCACGAGGTTCATATCTAACACCCGGCTTGCATACTGCTAGGATTAGCAATGTCGAGAGCGTCCTGTACGTAAACAGAATGAGAGAGGTGGTAAATTTTATGCTTGGTAGTGAGATAGAGAACGATGCTCTTTGTATTGTCACTAGTGTGGTAAGGAGTTGCTATTTTTCTCGTGTGATAAAACTCTTTCGAATTCACAGGCTACCCTTTTAACTAGCTACGATTATCATCTTTTCGGAGATTATTTCGAAGTTATTTTTTTACGTCAACATCTTTCATGTAAAGGATGAAAGATCACTTCCGTTTTCTACTTGTGTACCTAAAATCGCTACATATCTTTTTTCTATTCCCGGCCAGCCCGACCATACTTAGTTGATAATTATATGACCACTGGAATGTTGATAAGATGGAAGTTACGTTTCAACCTTAATATGACGCGTAGACGGGCGCATGTGGGACAACCGCAAAAAATCAACAATCAACAACAATCAAAGCGACCTCTGTTGCTAAGAATAGTGGTGGGGTGAAAAAGAAGCCAATGATAATCTTAACAGTTTATTTTTTTTCGTTTTAGTTTCAACAAGCAGCGCCAGCCACTGGCAGGCGCGCGAGGATTCATACTGAAATAAGAGAATAACCTTCGTTTTTCATAAAATTGTAATTTACAATCCTTGAACTTGAAAACAATCCGAAGATTCATTAAAAATATCACTTACTCCGAAGCGCTCGGAGTTTACAGGTGTTCAAAAGCTTTTTCTGTTATGGCGTGAGATTGGGGACATCTCACAAATTTCGTATTGTGTGTTTTTCCTGTGTGAAGCAACAAAAGGTGCCGGCGACTGACGAAATTACAGGTTGACACGAAAATCAAATAACACCTAAACAAATAATTTTGGCTACCGATTTTCAGTGAATTTTTAAAGAACAATTTTCTTTCAAGTTTCAAGACAATTGGAAGATTCAAAATAAATATTACGTACTAAAATGCCAAAGTTATACACCGCAAAATTGATAAATAGGCCTGAAATTAAATTCTATCTTCTTTTTGATCATACGTTGCCTAGCACGTGACCAAAATCTACCCAGGCGGAAATCCAAAATGACGGTGGCAGTCTGGGCTTAGTTATATCAGTCAAAACTCGTTCCCTTTGTCTCATTTGATAAAGAGGGAACCATCAATGTTTTCATTAAGACAGTTTTGCCTTGATTTTCCAATATTTACAATGATAGACAGTAAATTTCACTTTTCACCCACATTTACTTCCAACCTTTTCTTTTGAACCAGAAACAAAAATGATATATGTTTAAAACACATGACATCATCCACCCTTGTCAAATGTAATAGCATGATTATTTCAATTGTAATGCTTTGTTATCCCAACGTTACTTTGTTTCTTTGCTACATTAGCGAACACTGAACTACTGCTCGTACTCTAAATATATAAATCAACCACAAAATTCCCTAAACCAGATAACATTAAACATAATCCAAAAAACCATGTAAGTCATCAGTCAATTCACGAGTTTGCTCACAGAGCACTTTGATTTTATTCGAATCAGAACAAGAAACTCAATTCATCGAAAAACGCAACTTTTCTTACTCTTTTCTGTTTTACTTAAATTTTTTTGCAAAAAAGCCGTGGAGTGCTGAGCCGGATAGCTTTATTCCAGACAGGTTAGAGTCCACCCGTCCGGCCCTACACTAGTCAACTTTCATTATGGTTTTCTACGGGATTGCACGTGCGAGGCCTAACGAGTCATATCATAATATTGATTATGGGTTTCCATCCTGACGTTGAAGAAAGTGATTCAAGGGTTTTCAACCACTCATTAATGTGGTGGAGTAAATTAACCCTGCACAAGCCTAGATAACTTTGGACACATTGCAATGAAAATTGCTATATTCTATAGAATAACGATGAACTTACCACTGGGGAGATACAGTGCCCTTCTACTTCACTGACCAGTGCAACCCAACAGAATATCTGATCCTCGCTCTACACGCAAGGAATAATCATGTACTTAGTCCTGGGGTCTGGAATTGAAAAGATAAATGATAGTTTAATAGTTTTGGATACTTTCGAATTGATGATACTCGTTGTGTTGTAGCAAAATCCTTAGGTCTCTGTGAAGTATATTTTGCGTCATTAGGATGGCTGTTCAATGTACATGAAAAAAGAACTTTTCTTGATTGTTGGACATTGCAATGTTGAACAAGGATTTAATTCAGATTTCAAAAAAATCCCTAGAAAGAAACGTAGGAAGACACTTGTATAAAAGTCCCATTACGATTACGACTGAGGAAGTGGCTTAACACGGTAAGCATATTATATTGTGGGTAAGCTATAAGTCACCCATCTTTGGTAGACTGTTTTAGATCCATTCACCACAACAGGACATCCAAGTTTCCGAAACAACTTTCTCTCTTTACCTTTTGGTGGACCAAGTCGGGTCAGCTATTAACGTCCCGTCTCTGGTACACAGTTCAAGATCTATTCGCAGATACAGTCCAGTTTCTGAAATAGTTTTCACACTCCTCTCGTGGTTTTTTCGGTGGACCAAGTCTTAGCATCATATATCAAGACT